TACCAGGAGGCCAGAATCACTGAGAGCCATTTTGAGGGTAGGCTGTCACCATTCTTTTACTTGGGTCTTCCTTATCTTCACAGGGCTGGCCCTGTGGACAGAGAGGGACAGTACACAACAAAAGTGGGAGTCAGAATCCAGAAGGAATGCCTCAAACAGAAGTTATTTGGATGGCACTGGAATTGAGGAAAACATAAGGAAATATTTTTTCCATGTACCCGGAACCAGTAGGATAAGATAGGGGATTAACATAGAGTGACTTCAATAGTCACTCTAAGAGTTGGCATTGGCCAGGGTCCCAGCTAAGAGGCAGCTCCCTGTGGTCCAGGATAGACAGAAAGGGAAACAATAACTGCCTATTTTCTTTTTAAGATTTATTTATTTATTAGCGAGAGAGTGAGCACAAGTAGAGTGAAGGGCAGAGGGAGAGGCAGACTCCCTGCTGAGCAGGTAGCCCAGTGATGGACTCCATCCTGAGACTCCGGGATCATGACCTGAGCCAAAGGCAGATGCTTAATCCACTGAGCCACCCAGGCACCCATCTTCCCATTGTTTTGATTATTACTGAGCTGAGCTGAACTCTCTGGTCTTCACATCATCCTTGGGTCTATAGGAGAGAAACCTGTGTTTGTTGAAGGACCTAGGGAAACTCCACTAGGGCCTAGGCTCTTCCCCGTCTCTGCACACCTCAGACCTTCCCCCACTTTCAGAGTTAGAGAATGCCACAATTCACAGTTTCAATGCAATTCCATATCACAAGCCTCTCCTCATGGCAATCAGTGTATTTGGCCCTGTATTTTTTTTTCCAAAATAAAACAACACCTTAAAATGAATACATTTACTTTGTTTTAGGAGGATGTACTTGGTTCTCAAAAACCTAAAGGAACTAATATTTCTACTGAGGGAGACCGACAGTACCACTTGTTAGACCACACTGGTCAGAGAAGTTAAAACACAAGAGAAGCCATGCTTGATTCTCTCCAGGAGGGGATTGAAGACTTCATGGGAGATAAATCCTGGGAGAATATAGTATTTAGCCAGGTAGGACAATGGAGAAAGTGATTTCTGGGGGAAAGAATAAAGATAAACTAAAGAGCTGACAGGCATCTATGAGTCAAAAATATAAATTCAGGATTACTGGACCATGAGTCGTTATAGAAGATCTTATAGCAAAGAGAGGTGTCAGGAGAACAGGTGGGAAATATCTGGAGTCATAGATGCTGCACAGAGAAAATCCACAAGACACCCGACCAGTAATCCATCCATCCATGCACCCATCCATCCATCCATCCATCCAACCATCCATCCATCCATCCATCCATCCATCCATCCATCTCTGCATTTCCTAACATATATTTTCTCTCTCCCCACCCCATGTTCAAAAGGGGTAGTTTGTAGCATTCTTAGCATTCTAGGTCCAGACCCAGAGAATGTTCCATGACAGATCCAAGGTGCTGTATGAACCACTCTGCCATCAGCATAGATTCCAGCAGATTTAATGGTGCCTGAGGTATCAATGGTAGATAGGGATGCTATTGGTTTCTACAGACTTTTTTTTTTTTCATTTTTCACATTGGAACAGGTTTTATTTAGATTAAAAGTTTTTCAATTAAGTTTTTAGTTTGAGATAACTATACACTAAATTCATCGACAGCTCATAGAAATAATAGAGATATCCCAGGTATTCCTTTTCTAGTTTCTCTCAAGGGTAACAAATTACAAATACTGTGGTACAATATCACACCCAGGATACTGACATGGATACAATGTACATCTTATTCAAAGTAAAGATAATACTGGAGCCTTTGGCAAGGCTTTAGGGGTAGGGCACAGTGTAGACCTCTTAGGATTTGGAGCAAGGCCCTGCCATCACCTACAGATAACTATTCTCTTTTCGAAAAACCGATCTTGGCCTGCTCAGGGCCTTCATGGGGACTGAACACTGACTCTGGGCCACTGAGGCACCAAGCGACCTGGGCTCCCCGTCATGAGCTTGGTGCTTTCTGGCCCATCAAGTCTGAGAGTGGGTAAGCACAGCAGCACTCCATCGTCAAATGGAAACAGTAAGTACATGATATGGCCTAATCAGGCCCTGGGGCATAAGCAAGTTACATGAATAGGTTGCTTGAATGCTCATGGTCCCCATTCCTACCTCACGGCCTCCTCTCTCCCAACCTGTACCTACGGCCTCATGGGAAACTCCACCTATCAGTGACAGAGGAAGACAGGACTGGTGTTGGGTTTCCAGATGCTTCTGTACGATCCACAGGTACCACCTGAAAAGGAACAGCTTCAGCATTATAGCCCTTCTCCAGACTATTCCCGAAGGACAGTGGGTAAGGGAAATGTTCTGAGTGGGTACGGCGTTGGGCAGTATCCTGGGTGGTACACTTTCCTGGGAAGGAGAAATGCATACATATGCAATTAGATGCCTATTTCAATGGTTTGGCTGGATGGCCAGGGACTTGGAAAATCCAATTGGAAATACGGTGACATAGAAATTTGGGGGAGAGGTATGCGGATAGAATTCTCTGAGAACAGAAGGATATTTGTGTCCCATGGGAATGCCCCCCAAAGGGTGACCTCAGAAGAGGATTTTAAGCATCAAGTAGCTAGGATGACCATTCTGGGGCTATCAGCTTGATTCCCCAGGCAGCCCACGTTGCCCAGTGGGGCTCAGGAACAAAGGGGCAGGAATAGATGTCAGGCACAGGCTGAGTAGCACAGACCTGCATTCACCAAGGCTGAGTGGGCTGTGCCCACTGCTGAGTGCCCACCCTGCCAGCCGCAGAGACCCACACTGCCCTGATATGGCACCGTTCCCTGGGGTGATCGGCCCACTGGCAGGTTCACAACCCTGGACCACTTCCATCACAGAAAGTCACAGCATTCCTCTTTTTTGAAATAGATACTTACTGTGATACTGGTTTGTCTTCTTAGCCTGCAATGTTTTTGCCAAAACTACCATCCGTGGACCTACAAAATTCTTTATCCCACCCTCACTGTCTTCCTTAACTTCTTGCTTCTGATCAAGGAACTCGGTTCACAAGAAAGGGAATGTGGCAGTGGGCCCATTGCTCATGGACTTACTGGATTTACCATGTCCATCCGTCTGTCCGCCCCTTCCACCCCACCTTCGGAAGCAGCTGGCTTGGCAGACTGGTAGACAGTGGCACTGCTGGCTAGGTGGTAATGCGTTGCAGGGGTGAGGCCAAGCCCTCTGGAAAGAAGGCTGTATATGCTGTGAGTCCAGCTCCTCTCCCTGGGATTGAACCCTAGACCCTCTCCTCTTAGCTCCTGGGTGGATTCCTCTTCCAGTTGGCATCTCACAAGGAGCCTGTGCTGTTCTTGCCCAAATGGGAGTAATGTCTGCCACAGGTGTGCCTGTCCTCCTCCCCCCACTCGCCGCCCCCTGCCCTACCCTGCAAATAATCTGTGCAAAGTCAGGCCGATTTTTCTAAAACCCTCCAGCATCAAGAAGTCTTAAGTCTTGCTTCCCACCAGGCACTCTCTCCCTCTCCTGTCCTCCTCCTCCCATCTCCTGGTACTACTTTTTCAACCATGTTGCTCTTTTCCATCTTCCTGACTGCCCAGAGGCCCACTGTCACTCAACAAAGGACCCGAGGCAGAAGGGAGCTTGGGGAGGATTGGTGAGACTGGGAGAGGCTTCTATTTAGGATCCCACACCCACTTCCGCCCTGGTCTTAACCCTGTCTCCCTGCAGGACCGTGGTATTCAATTTCCTCAAAAATTTTAGCAGGTTGTCCCCAAACCTTTTGCCCCGCCCACTCTGGGAGGTGCCCTAGCTTTATGCCACTTACTGGGGCCCAGTCGTATTTCCTGAAATATTTCAATCTTCTCTCCATTCACCAGTCCACCCTGTCTTTTCTGTCTTCATTCCCACTTTCCGAATAATCCCTTCTTGTGGTCAAAAAGTATAAACTTCCAGTTATAAAATAAACAAGTCATGAGATGTAATGTATAATATGGTACATAACTATAGCTAATAATATACATACAAATATTGAGTCTTGTAAACCTCAAAATAATTTGTTATATGTCAGTAATATCTCAATAAGAAACGTTAAAGGTAAATGAAAAGAAGGGATGATTCTTTTTTTGGTGGTGCAGGGATGGGATGATAGATTCTATGCCTTTTGTTATGGGTTGAATTGTGTTCCCCCAAAAGTTATGCTGAAGTCCTAACTCGTGGTTTGGGAAGGTGATTTTATTTGGAAATAGGGTCTTTGCAGCTGTAACCACATGAAGACGAGGTAATTAGGGTGAAACACCGTCCACAGGACTGTTGTCCTTATAAGAGGGGACCAGAGACAAACAGGGAGGAAGTCATGTGGATACACAGAGGCAGAGAAAGAAGCCAGCCCTGTGACAAAGGAGACAGAGATCAGAGGACAGCCGCCTGGAGTCAAGGAATGCCAAGCATGGCAGGAAACATACAGAAGCCGAGAGACAGAACATGGCTCTGCGGATGCCTTGCTCTCAATCTTCCAGCCTTCAGAACTGGAAGAGAAGAAAATCCTGTTTTGTATTATTTCTTCTTTTTAAATTTATTTTTTATTGAGATATAATTGATATACAGCATTATATTAGTTTCCGATGTACAACGTAATGGTTGGATATTGTATATATTGTGAAATGGTCAGCACAATAAGTCTTGTTTTGAGATCCACCCTCTCAATAACTTTGAAATATACAACACAGTATGGTTAACTACAGTGAACATGTTGTACACTATATCCACATGACTTTTTAAAGTTATAACTGGAAACTTATATCTTTTGGCCCTAAGAAGGGATGATACTGATGGTGGAAATGAAGATTTAAAAGATAGGGTGGTCAGGACAATGGGTTGAAGAGGAGCCGACCGGTACTATGAGGAAAGGGTTGATATATTCTAGGAAATACGGCCGGGAGATGGGCGGGTCCTAGGGCGGAGTCAACCTGGAAGTGATAAATTATCTGCAGAAACTGCAAATCGCAGTAGAGTGTTGCGGTGAGGAGCTGCCCGGGGTGAATGGGTTGGTCTGGGGGCTCCAGCGTCCGTCTTGTTCTCCTGCTCTGGTTTTTCCTGTCGGTCTGTCCTACAGCAGACTGCAGCCGTGAGTTCAGAAGTGGAACCCGGGGGGTGGGAGCGAGGTGTTGGGGAGTGAGCAGTAAGACCGGGGAGGGGAAATGGTGTCCGCGGAGCGGTTCTGGTTGGAATCTTCTCGCCCCGATGGCACGGAGCCCTTCTCCTCAATTATTCTCTGAGGGCCGCTTTCTGCCTGGAGGGTGTCTGTGGGCGGTTGTCGCCTGGGCCAGGAGAAGGACTGAAAACAGGCAGCTTCTGGGCACCTGGGTGCCTCAGTCGGTTAAGCGTGGGACTCTTGATTCGGGCTCAGGTCATGATCTCAGGGTCCTGAGATGGAGTCTCAGGACCCTGAGATGGAGTCTCAGGACCCTGGGGCTCTGTGCTCAGTTCGAGCTGTGTCGGAGATTCTCTCCCTCTCCCTTTGCCCCTTCCCTCTGCACTTTCTAAAATAAATCATGAATCTTTAAAAA